GCGAGAGATGTCGCGCGATAATGCTAAACGTTCCCGCCAGCTAAGGGATTCAGGTGCGCGCGCCATGTACAAACGGAATTGGCAACTTATCCGCACAAAGCCCGGACTTGCGCGAGCGCGAAAATATGGATGAGCGCGCCTTGGAAATACAAGCAATTCACCTTTTCCGCAAAAGATGTCGGAAGGTCACACCCACACCGCTAGCCCCCCAAAATATGTCAGTGCTACCTGAAAACTGTACGCTGGGTCTGAGCTTAGCACGGTCCGTGAGCTTCAAAATTTTACCGTCACCCCTCGAAATTAGGTGGATACAGCTTGCCACGTGTGCTAAGTACGTAACGCCCAAATTTACCGGGTTGAAGCTTCTACCACCAGAGGTGAGCAATTTTAGCGATGTGCGCTTTAAATTTCTAACCCTAGAAGACTCCTATCCCAAGATTCACTGGGTCCAGCACGGTCTGTGAGCTTTTCAAAGTTTACGCTGGAACCCAATATTTAGCAGGGCCACTTGAATGCTTTACGCTGGGGCGAAGATGTAGCACGGCCTGTGAACTTCAAAGTTTTACCGTGACCCCAGCTAAAAATTTAGCGGCACCCAGCTGGTGCTAGGGTAATCTTCAGATGACTCCCAAATTTAGCGGGTCGAAGCTTTTACCACCATATTTCAGCAATTTTAGCGATGAGCACTGCAAAGTTCTAACGCTCGATGGTGTCTTTTCAAAACAAATCACTGGGTCCAGCAGCATGGCCTGTGAGTTTCAAGACTTTGTCCCCAACAGGTCCACTTCAAAGCTTTACGCTGGACCAAAACTTAACACGGTCCGTCAGCTTCAAAGTTTTACCGTCACCTCACCCCAACTTAGCGGCACCTAGCTCATGCTAATTGGACCGTCACATGACATCCAAAGTTTATAGCGGGTCGAAGCTTTTACCACCAGATGGCACCACATTTTGACGACAACCACTTCACTATTTGAACACTAGATGGCGCCTATTCCCAAGATTCGCTGGGTTTTTTGCAAAGTTTTACGAGCTGGCCCCAAATTTTAGCAGGGCTACTTTAAAGCTTTACGCTGGATCAATATATATCACGATCCGCGAGCTCCAAACTTTTACCGTCACCTCATTTAGCGGGACCCAGCTGCTGCTATTTGGGACCGTCACATGATGCCCAAATTTAGCGGGTCGAAGACCCCAAATGCATCAGCTAAGGGGGCGCCATGAGGCTACGAGTCCGCGAGCAGCGTTTGAATCGCTCGCGCGCGCTCGAAATCACGTGATAAGAAGACGAGCAACGCCCAGCGATGCAAACAATATTACACGACCATCGTCACATTACCGGCGGCAATGTCGTATCTTGGTTTTGAACCGTGTAGCAAAAGCCAGGTGTCAGGAAAACACGTGATCTGATTTGCACACACGGACGACTACGAAGAGTTAGGCCCTCTAGGAAGCAATGTGCTTATAGCTCAGGGGGTAGAGTGTCGGGCTCCTATGTACAAGGTAGCGAGGTCGATCCCCAGCCGCCGCAGAGCCTTTTTTAGCGAATAAAAGTCGTTTACCGCGCAGAGATTCAAATAATGTCACGTGACCATCACGTGAGCGCGGACGCAACACGAACCCTATGTGACATCACGTGAGCGCCCTCTGTCGGACGCAACTCGAACCCGGGGAAATCACATGGTTAGAATCACGTGATGGGAGTCGTGCTGATGACATCCCTGTACGTGTCTTTCCCACGCTTCTGACACGCGCCGCGTACGTGACTGATAACATCGGCTGTTAACACCTTGTTAAGCATGTGTTAACATCCTTAACGATGTGTTAACATTGGCTACGTGACCTCACACCTATACCGCGTACGTGACTCGAGGGCGGGACCTCGATGGGCTCCGATTGGTCACTGGGATGGGAGAGAGGGAAGGGCCCCGCCCCACTGCTCAGTGATTGGTGGGATTGGTTTTAGCCCCGCCCTGCTGCGATGTGATTGGTCGGATCGGGCCCCGCCCACAGGGCAACGCCCCTAGCAACGGGCAACGCCCCTAGCAACGGTTTGTTTACCATCTGTGTGAACTGGTGCACATTTACTACTACTCTGCTACACTTGCAACATTTGGTCAAAATGTGAGGAATTTGCGCCAACATTGTACCAGAACTTAAGTTCAAATAAATAATACTGAAAATATAACAGCTGCAGGCCTCGCTACCGGGGCGACTTGTTAGTGTAGGCTCTTACAGGGTTACAGGACTTTCGATAGTCGCCTCAAATAACATACTATTCGATTTGATTTCGCACTAAGCACTGACAGTACTCAGAAGTTTCGCAACAAGTCTCGTGTTCGTGGTCTGTTCTGGTGGGTTAGTTAGCTTTGTTGAGTGCGCTTCTCACCGCATATTGGTGTAATGCAGTGAAGCATCAGTTACGAACTAGGCGTCGCGATGTTGCATGTGTTTCTTTGCCGCAGCACCCCCGCGTACTAAGGGGAAAGGTACTACTCCTCCAGAGCAAGACTGGGTAAAAGCAGTGGCGTCACTAGTGTCAGTGGCACCCGGGGCAGTGGCACCGATCCTCTCGTGGTCCGCCACGACACCCCCCGGAGTACTGCACCCAGGGCGGTCCGCCCCCCCCCCCCCCCACCCGCACCCCCTTGTGACGCCACTGGGTGCAAGAAGGTATATATGGACTCGCGTAGGTTAATATTTTATGCTTCGTTTTTTTTTTTTGTCTGAATTGAGAGTTGCAGTTTTGTTACAACCCCCCTAAGAACTTGAAGGACACCTAATTCTAGGTGCTCAAAATGATTGTATTTTAACATTTCTTCAGTGGGATTTCGTACCTAAAATAATCATTCACGGCAGTTTGCACTGTTCTTCATCAGTCGTCTTCTTTTTACCGTGTCCGGTGCTTCCACAAGCAACTAAGCAACTAGTGTTTGTTCTAATATTTTCCGTCTCTCCTCACAATTGCAGTGACATAAATGAAAATGACGTGTGGGATTATGCTCCAAAAGCTCGTTTTACTTTTCCAAAATGAACTTTTGGATGCTCCAACAGCTGCTCCGAAATGGCTATGACCAATCACATTACTGCTCCTATCACCTGACCCAACCCTTCGCGCATGGGTATGGCCGGGAGCGTGATGATGCAGCAAAAGAGAGGCGTATGACTGGTCTAACGAGGACGTAGCTTCCATCACAGTCTCAGCTTAGAGGTGAACAAAGTATGGTAGCTGCAGCGCCAATTATTAAAGACTGCCATTGTTTGGGCGCACACTGTGGCCGATGTTGCTTGACGTTACTGAGAAAATTGCCTCATCTCAATTAACCTTATGCGAAAATGCTTGGCAGTTTGACATCACTATTTTAATGTTGGCAAGCGTTGACGGTACTGAAGTGTAGGGCACTGTGTGATGGCGCGGCAGCTGTGTTTCCGCCGGACGAAGAGTTTAAACAACCTACCGCAACTGTCTGATGAAACTTTCGGAGGCCTACGCACACGCTGGCGACAACCCGCAGTGTGTAAGCTTCCACAGCAAAGGCGTAGGACTTGCTCCGCTGCCTCGACGAGGTTGTTGCCAGTGTGCACAGGTCTCCTAGAGCTTCTTCAGACAGTTGCGGTAGGTTGTTTAAACTGTTTGTCCACATTTCATGGTCAGAAGGCGGAAAACAGCTGCTGCGCTATCGTACACTGCCCGTACGGCTCTCTCTGATGCCTCCACCGTGCTTTGGTACCGACGACGCTTGCCAACATTAAAATGGCGTCCCTCTCAGTATTGTCAGATCACCAAACAATTTTTCATAAGGTCTATTGAGCCTCTTTGACTGGTTGCCATCTTTTTTTTTTAAACATGGCATATATCGAAAGCTTTTCGTGCAGTGATTCGTTCCAGTTTGGTTTTAAACATGGCATATATCGAAAGCTTTTCGTGCAGTGATTCGTTCCAGGTTGGATGCAAAAGTAACCGGAATGAATTTCTGAAAGGCGGGCTGTTTGTAGTACCAGCTTCCGCCGCTAGCAGCGCTTTGCAGCACCCCTTCCGAGCGAGTTTGCCATTGTCTGCTATAACTATTTTTTTCCACGCACTTCAAAATAGTTTTTTTTTTGCAATGTCTAATATGAAGGAACAACATGGGGCTGTGAAATATTGCTTTAGGTAAAACTGTGCTAGAAACTCTTGTAATGCTTCAAAGAACTTACAAGGAAGATGCTAATAAGAAATTGCAAGTGGTTTTTTCGCTTTAAGACTGGTGATTTTTAGTTCGATGACCAACCTCGTTCTGGGCGACCTTTACCCAAGCAGCACAGTATGACCGGCTCAAAATGGATCCAGACTGGGCAGCCGGGGAAGTTTCAGTGGGCCTAGATTGTTTTGCCCCATGGCGCTAGGCAGCCCCAGCCTGGCTAGCAGGCCCGGCGGTTCAGTGGGGGTTCCTTGTACAGCCAAGCTTGGCTTCACGGTGTAAAACCAGCCTGGGCCAGGCTGGCAGTTCAGTGGTCAGCAAGGCATGGCAAAACGGCCTAAAAGCATCCTGGGCCACGCTGTCAGTTCAGTGGTCAGTCAAGCTTGGCAAAACGGTGTAAATGCAGTGTGCGCCAGGGTGGGAGTTTTCTGGTCATTCACTCTTGGCTATACGGGCAATTTACAGGCTTCTCCCAAGGAAGCCTCTGTTGTCATTCAAAGGATGTTTTTGTGGCATGTAGCGAAACATCTCCAATTTTGGTGCTGTGTGCAGAAAAAACTGGTTGCTACTGAAGTACCAACCAATTTTTTGTGCACACAGCACCAAACATGGGAGATGTTTGGTGCTGTGGTCAGCACCAAACGTGCCTCACGATTAATAAAGCTGCTCAGTAATTTTCTCAGAATATTTGAACAATAGAATTAAAGTTGAAAATATGTGCGAGCTGCTGTATTTATGGTGTGGTCAGCATGCAAATGAAGCTGCAAAACCAAATCAAGTTTGATACAGTAGTTTCTTATTTCGTGTTCAGTACATGGTGCTGGCTTATGCCAGAGGCCCACTACAGCGACAAACGACAGCGACAAGGCTCAAACCTGAGTCTTTCGCGATCTGAGAGGCTTTGTAGAATAAAGGAGGCTATGCTTAAACACAAGCATCATGCACGCGAGGGTTCTTTGGCAGGCTTACAATCACTCATGCTTATTTCACGAGCACCGAACGAATAAACGGCTGCAAAAGGTACCATCACATATATGCTGCATGGGTTGGAGGCTTGTCCGTGTCATTTGTTTCTGTTTGTCGCTCTAGTGAGGCTCGGGCATAATCATTGAGTCCCACTAGAGTGACAAAGGCTGGTTGCTGGTCGAGTATTTGCTGCCTGGTAACTGGGCTTCACAGCTAGCAGGTGGCTCTGCCGATCCGAGTACTAATGAAAGCAGTTGTCGATGGTTCACCCCATAACCACTTCATGGCTGTGACGTAGAGCTGGATAGCAGCACCTGGAGAAGGAACAGGATAAACAGTGATGCATCTTTAGTAAATATGTTTTACATGAACTATAAATCATGCTCCTATTTAAATTATAACACAGCAGAGGCCACCCAAAAGGTCTTGGTGGTATGTTCAGTCTCCTTCAATATAAAATACCTACTGAAAGCGCGTGGCCGAGACAGGAGTGGTCGGGGGCGCCATGTACACTCCACGAGATCCTGCTCTGCCTTGAGAAAAGGACGCTCACTCGGGGCTCAACTGGTCCTGAACTTGCTAACAGTTTTTGGTTTAGGTTTAGCCTAACAGTGTGCTTTATCGGTATCGCGCTCGGAGATATGATCACGGAGGCTTGACGTAAGCATGCTCATCACTTTTTGTTATCAGTTGTTTCACGTGTAAAATTTGAAAACAGGCACAAATATTAATGTTACACCCGAGTCTTATATTTAAAAAATAAGAGGTCTTGAAGAGCGTATTCATTAATTAGAAGGATGGCATGGACCATGCCTTTAAAAGGAAAATAATTGTCTTGACTCGGGCCAGTTTCTCTCAGACAGCCATTTCAGAGTTAGTGGCGGTGACATGATCCGAATGAACTGCTTTCCACCATGAACCCGAAAACTGATAAGCGTGCATTGTGCTTTAGCTGAGCAGTGAGTGAGTTCCCCCTTGGGTAGATTGGGATCTCCCAGAGCACACACAGCGCCCCCACCAGCCACTGCCTCGGCTAGGCACTCTTAGTGGGTCCTTCATACTGCAGGAGAATACATAACACCGGAACTGCAGAACTCAACAGTGACAAGCATGATTTCCCTCCATTTGTAGAGTACTACGGTCAGTAAATACAAAATAGAAGCCAGTTAGAGCACCTCAATGTGAACACCACATATGACATGCAGTACAGCGCAAGGATGCTCAGATCGTCTGAAAGCGGACTTTGAATTGCCGCAATTGAAATGTTTTTGTTTCCCTTGATAGTAAAACCAAGCCATGAGCACAACTTCACTATAAAGACAATGTTTTCTATCAGCTTTTTCTTTAAATGCATAGAAGTACTTTTTGATATTTATGGTACCTATCTGTAAGGTTGCAATATAAAGTGCTGTCAACTCCCACTGACCGCGCTGAAGCTATAACACACAAAAACCAAAATCCCTAGTAATTAAAACGACAAAAAAATGAGACTAGAAAAACATTCAGTTTGAGTGCATTGTCTTGGGGCTTAAGATGGCAAGTTGCGCTAGTTGGTTATTCACTACTGAATAAGATGCCAAAAAACACAGACAAAACGAGGAAAGACCTGGACAGGACTTGGCATAATTTTCAACTGAATTGTTTAGTTAAAAAAATATATATACAAATAAAAACCGAAACCTCCTGGCAGAACACTGTAAGGTCAAAATGCACTCCCTTACAAGCCAGCCCCACTGGTTCTACAGAGAGTGAAATTCTGTCAGACAATGACACTAAAGGTGCACTCAGACAAGAGTTGTTACCCTGGTATTTTATCCCAATGGTCAGCTAGCAGTTCACTGTGACCATTGTTAGTGCAAGTCCAACTTAGAAAAAGACTAGTGTCATGGGCTGCTACAAGACAAAAACAAAGCATAGGGGAAGCTGCAGGCACTGCAGTTCCCCTATCCTTTAATGTTGCTGCATGAGTGACGTTGCACAACTAAATCGCAAGTAAAATCACATAATGCGAATCAGGTTTACAGTGTTCTGATAGCAAGTGTTACTTCCTATCAGCAGATCTTCCTTCATTTCGTCCGTGTTTTTTGGCGTATTATTCAGTCTTGAGGCATATCGGTGTCAGGGGTTTTTCTTTGTCACTCTAGTAGGACTCGGGCAGGGTGGGTAAACCGTCATGTCTCAACAACGTGGATACTCAGCTATATAGAAACCATTCTCGGGAACCAACCGGGTAAATACCAGCATTTTGTTCTGTTGTTATGCACAGCTCACATTAGGGACGCTTTTGGGTAGGAACGGAGGTGTCCATTTTTATGAGACATCAGTATCAATTTTCCTAGTGTTGAAATTAATGACTGCATGCTCTGAAGCCACGTAGCAGGCTTCTCCACCGAACACTAATGCGTAGTGGTGGCATGACAGATGTTTGTGGCTGCAGAACACACCACAGGCAAAAGATATCCAATGTGGACAATCATAGATATATGACATTAGAATCAACCATCAAATAGGCCTACATGCTGTTGTCACAGAATTCAACGATTTTTGTTGTTCTTTGTTGGTTTGCGTTTTGAGTAAGATGCGCGAGCGCTGAGAACATGAGCTCGGAAGGGAGGAAAAATAAAAAAAGAAAGGTGGAAGCTGCGCGAAGCTAGGCGTCGGCATTATGGCTGGTGGAATAACGAGCAAGGCTTCAGTGGTGTGGGTAGTCGAACACCGAACAAGGCTTCGTCAAGATGGTTCGTGGGCCCTGAGCAAGCTTCGACGATGTGCGTGCGCTTGTGAGTGAGTGCTGTTCGGCACTACAAGCACCCAAGCCACCACGACTTCTCGGCTCCGACTGGTGGCACAAGGGACCGGACCACCACCGACATCTTGGGACCATGATGGGCCTTTCCTCCTCCGAACTGTATGGCAGCTTTCATTTCGGTTCTGTTCCCTTTGTCACGCTTTCGAAGCTTTTGTGATTTTTGTTTGCCGCGGTTACGAAGAGCGGAAGGCTTGCAAGATATGTTCTTTTCCTTTATTACTTTGTTTACAACTGTGTGTGCGTCCTGTGCACCTTTACTTTTGAATTTCATTACTATTAAATAGTGTTCCGCAACGCCAGACACGACTCACTCTCAATTCCTACAGCCTCTAAGGAAGTCGATCAGATAGGTGTGGCCCTAGCACCTGGACAGCGGTACAATTCAAATTACAAGTTTGTTTGTTTATGGCATCTTTTCCAACCGAACCTGTGACATGCTGGCGTCCAGGACACGACTCGAACCTGTCACAAGTTTGCCACAGGTTTGGTTGGAAAAGATCAAATAAACAAACAAACTTGTAATTTGAATAGACCCCTTGCAAAAATCCCAAAAGTCAGCGCGCGCCGCGTGACGAATAGTGGGAATGTTCGGTACGCCCCTCCTCCCGCTACCACGTGACCATGTGGCATATGCGAGCAGGCACAGGTTACCACGGCAACGACTTTTCGAGCGGCCGAGTCGGGCGAGCGACGAACCAACGGCTGCCCCTTCCTCGTCCCTCCCCTTTGTACCGGCTATGTCGTCTGCTGCACCAACGCTTTGTCGAACCTGGTCGAAACCTGCCACGGTTGCGATGCTAATTAAATGAATTGGGTGACACTTCAATACGTGAAGGTAAGTTACGACAAATAACATATTTATATAAGTTCACCTGTCGCGGTGCCTTTACGCTGCCACAGATACGGTACGCCGCCAACGACGTACGACTCGGCGGATGGGAGGGATGGCGGATGGCTGCAACGGCTGCTGGTGGTAGCTGCCGGGACGCGCGCGCAATCGCGGAGGCGCAACGGGAAAGCGCGTGATCTCTACCGAGGGTTCCCAAAATTCCCTGCCGTCGTGGCGCTGTACGTTTTGCAAAGGGTCTATTGGACCGATGTCTAGGTGCTAGGGCCACACCCAGGCGTTGGACTTCCTGAGAGGCGGTGGGAATTGAGAGTGAGTCATGCCTGGTGTTACAAAACACTATTTAATAGTAATGAAATTCAAAAGTAAAGAAAAGGTGCACAGGACGCTCACACAGTCGTAAAAAAAAGAAATACATAAAGGAAAAAACATATCTTGGAAGCGTTCCACTCTTCGTAACCGTGGCAAGAAAGACACAAAAGCTTCGAAAGCATAACAAAAGGAACAGAAGCCAAATCAAAGATGCCATACAGTTTGGAGGAGAGTCCAATCATGATCCCAAGATGTCGGTGGTGGCTTGGGTGCTTACGGTGCCAAACAGTGCTCACTCACAAACACAAGCACATTGTCGAAGACTTGCTTGGGGCCCACCAACAATCTTGACGAAGCCTTGCTCGAGGTTTGACCACCCAAACCCCGAAGCCTTGCTCGCCGTTCCGCCGGCCATAGCGCCGATGCATCGAGAAACTACAACAGAGGTGGTGTAGAGATGTCCGGGCAAGCAACATTCCTATATTGAGATCGATCCTCTAAAGCAGGGGTCTCCAAACTTTTTGGCTAAGGGGCCGGATGGAGGTTCTGTCTCTGTCTCGAGGGCCGGGAATATAAATGGCCAGATTTAAATGAGGAAAATCTAAATAAATATTTCTAGATATCTAAGCATTTAAATATACAATATTTAAAGGTAGAGTAAACATGGAACAAAAAGATTCTAAGGTGGCTGAATGCATTCACTTTGTAACGAAATTTAATCATTTCGCTGCTTATGACATCACACAATAATTGGAGCCCAGAAAACGTAGCAGCATATAAGCCAGAGCGCATAGGAACTTTGGCACGTTCACACAGGGCAGAAAAGTAGTGAGAACGATATGTGTTATGCTGACAATATTTAATAGCTACAGCACAGTACACTAAGCACAATATAGATAGGGACGTAAATTAATTTTAACGTACTTAGTTACTCAGATATGGAACAGGGGGCTAGAGTATGGATTCTGCTAATGACAATGTCCAATTACTAAGATGACCAGAGGACACCCCTTACGGTCGGCAGTTTTTCTCGTTTTTTTTTTCTTTTTTTTTCTGGTAACTTCGTTAAAGCGCGTGTAAAGCGGCCGCGGCGCCGTTTTACACGCGCCTATTCAGCTGGAAGCGGGCCGTGGGCCGGGCTCCACTGGGAGGACTGCAGCCAGCCAGGAGCCGGTCGAAAGACCTCCGCGGGCCGGATTTAGCCCGCAGGCCGGGGTTTGGAGACCCCTGTTCTAAAGGAATGTGAAAACCTCCTTTTACTCTTGAAGTGATGAATCTTCTAAAAGAATGTGAAAGATTCCTTTTAAGCTGATGTGAAGAACTTCACTGCAAGTGGAGAGCTAGATTACCCTAAGGGCCACCATGGCATAGGAAAAAAGACTATCTAGGGGATGGATAGATGGATGCAAACGGCTGTACCTTTTGTAACGTGCAGTAGTGCCAGCGTCGAAAGAGAAAGTCAATGGCTCAAGGATCAAGTGAAGCCAAGTATGAAGCCAGAAATAGTTAAATGCCTTGCCTAGAAAATTTGCCCGCAATGTCAAAAGCATCCCTGGCAAGCGATTCCCAGTTTTCATGGCAGCTAACAGAACAAGGCCCAGATTAAACAGCTTTTGAAAACCAACACGGATGGTACCACAGAAATGTATTCTTAGTGATGGGAAAGTTTAGAATGCCAAATAGTATGAAGAACTCTTACAGTACAACCATCATAGACGTATGAAACATGAAATCATGGGTGACTCGGGATCTCTTTGGCTGGGTCTTTGGTGGCTCATGGACTGGAAAGCCGACTTTGTGGATAAGCGTCCCAGCATGTGCCTACTTGATGACATGTGCCGCTTAACACTATCCAGTTCAATTCTAGCTGCCAAACACGTCATCGAAGCTACAGCCATTAGCCCAAGGCATATTTCAAAGGTAGTGTAGATTGTGTTTACCATTTATGAATGTCCAGGCACGACCGTGATTTAGCCCATCCACGGGCTTTCGGAGACGGTCACAAGAGCCAGCAGCTTGCTTGGGCAGCTCACTGTCAGCCACCCTGCCCCTCTGTACACAGTGCCACCTACATGAGCTCCCACTGAAGAACAAAAGAAACAATATCGGAAATTATAACTGCCATAAGAACATCTCAGCAGCAGATGCTACGGTATGGTGCCTGGAATGTGCCTCCAACTGGTGTGTTTAGCGTTCTATACCACCCATGTACCAAAAGTGGTCTCAAAGGGACTAAAGTTAATGACACCACAGCAGACGGCATGTCATGCTGTCAGATGTTGCAATCCTGGTGGTTGGTCGTACAACTTCTGGCAAAAAATGTATGAGCTAACGCGACAGTCATTGTCATTGCAACATTCAAAAGCCTGGCTGACAAAGCTTCTATTGACTGTCAAGCTGAGGGATACTCCCAGCAGAAACTACCTCAACTGCCATGATGTTCACAACCCGGAAAAGATCCCTTAAAAAGTTAATTGAGGAGCAACTGGGGTAACAATAGACTCAAGCTCTCGCACTATGAAGCCATTCCACAAATCTTGCATAAGCAACAGCAGTTCATTGAGAGTATTGAAGTTTGCCTTGTTCATACATTTTGAGATGAGGTTATATCTCTGGATTCTACCAAGACTCTAGTTTCCAGCAGAGATTTATGTTGGCAGGCCGGCCAAGTTGCTGGGTAGAAAGGTGCATGTGTCACACCACACGTGTCTTTTGCTGACATTCAGAGAAAGCTTCCCTAATGAAATACACCAGGCAATCATGGTGTGACATCAGAGAATCCTGGTGTGACACCAGAATATCTGGCGTGCCCACCAGCGATGCTGATGTATCGAGCACACCAGCCTGTTGTGCCCTCCAGAATTGCTGGTGTACCCGCACAACAGCCTGATGGGTACACCAAGAGAGTCTGGTGTCACACCACAAGGACTCATGCGCCGAACAGGCAGCCTGGTGTGCACACCACGCAGTTTGATGTGACACCCGTGTTGTGTTTTTGTTGACTTTTCCCCCCGGTCCGCGCGCGTGTCTTCTATTAGTTGGTGTGCCGCTCCGTCCCCCAACGGGTTGCCTTGTTTCCTCCTGTCTTGGTACTCGCCGGAGACCCCGCGGCGGGCTCCTTTGTGATCAAGAAGTGTCCCCCTCGTCCCGAGCACTTTCCCGGGCGGCCTTGAGAAGCTTCGGGCGCTCGCCGGCTCGCCTCTTCGAGGTTTTCTCTTTCCCTTTCCGCCGGTATTTTTCTTTAGGTTTGAGAAAATAAAGAAGTCTTCTTTGTGAGTCGAAGCCGAAAAGATGTGTTGGTGCACTTTCCTTACTTCCGACGAGCTTGGTTTGGTAGCAAAGCAACAAAGGAAGCTAGTAATTATTACAGTTTTTGGGGACGAAATGCCTACTACGAGCGAGGAGGGCGTCGACCGCCTGAAGCAAAAGAGGATTACCCTGCGAGCCGCCACAACAGAGATCATCAACGAGATTGGCGTCTGCTGGCCCCGGATCCAACCGACATCGGTGAGCTCGAAGAAACACTTGATATTCTTCTATTTAAGGAGGCTTCCCTGAAAGAGCTGGACAAGGAAATCAAGCCATCTGTCGGACATGATGCCTTAGAAAAGGAGATAGCTGGCGCGGAGGGGTATGCGGAACGGATCAGCGTAACTAAGACACGAGTCAACCGCAAGCTGAAAGTCCAAGAATTGCGGAACGACAGGACGTCCGGTTCTTCGACGCAGGACAGTGGCTCCGGACAAACTCCAGTTGATCACGGCCAACTCCCTGCAACAGTAAAGCTTCTGAAGCTTTACTGTTGTACTTTTTTGCTTTTCTGAATAAAGTAATTATGACAGCAGCGTTGTTGTCAAACTTATAATTGTACCCTTTTTTGTGAGTAAAGCAACACCCAGTCAACAGGTGGTCTGGTACCACATTAGGAAAAAACCTGATGTCCCGCCAGAACACCAGATTTCTGGTGTAAAATCAAAACACCAGATTTCTGATGTCATACTCACACAACAGATTTCTGCTGTCACACCAGAACACCAGATTTCTGATGTCACACCAGAAAATGTCCCAAATCACATCTGTGAAAAAATCTGTTGTAACATCAAGTCACACCAGCCCTCCAGCTGGTGTATTTTTCACTAGGGAGGAAGGCTGAATTTCCCTGATCGATGCTGATTAGGGTGGAAATCTTCAGACTTTTCCAATCGCCGAATACCTCAACATTACCAATTTTTCGAGCCATAGACACCCTGCACAAGGTTGAGTTTTATACTGATGATCATTAAGAACTGCATGAATTACCTATACAGATATGCGGTAACTATACTAAAGCCCAATTTATTCTAGTAACACACAACACCATCAAACAACCGTAAAACACCCAAGCATACACCCATGTCAGAGTATGCGCTCAACCCCTACTTTTGAAACATATCAACTCATGAGAGGATATATTAAAGCCTATTCCCCTATTTAAAAAAAATATATATATATATATGTATATATATATATATATATATGAAAGAGACATCAAGCGCGCTGTCGCCATGGGAGTTTATATCCCCGACTGGCAGAGAGCATGGGGATAGAACAAGTAGAATGGGAAAGCAGGAGAGGAGAGGGACAACGTTCCGTGGCAATGGAGCTAAAGCTAGAGAGCCTAATGACACCATTTCACTGCATAGCTGAATATAGTTCAACCATAATAATTTGCAGAGTGGAACTTAACCAATTAAAAAAAATAAGTAAAATTGTTCTGTTTAGCTTTGACTTTAGAATGTCAGCATAACATTAGCCAGGATGTGCCAAACCTATAGCATTTCCTTTTTAGCTATTTTGTGTTTTCTTGGTTTATGTTCACCCCATGTTTTCTAGCTCCCTGCAAAATTAAGATGGCATCTTGATCATGGCCATCTTTGGGCATCATCAGTGTGGTGTATCGATGGTACACTTTGTAAGCTCGCCCATTTGTTTGACGTGTGGGATTTTTACGAACTTTGACAACCAAGAAATGTTAAAACAAACCAAGCAAGCAAGTGGAGTGCAATGTGTACGACAAATGGGGCAGTGGGAACTGAAACTCCTAGTTGTTTCCATGAACCGGTTGGTTAGCGAGCTCACTGGTGGGAGTGAGCAGTGGTGGGGATCAAGATCAGGACCCCTGGGTTCTGCAGCGCAATCTTTCGCTACACATGTTCTGAGCTGTGGTGTGCCAGCGACCCCCTAGGCCAGCCATAACTGAATGCGATCCAAATGAAATGCGACTTGGCGTCGTGAAGTGTGCGTGCTTGTATTTCGGCATATCGCAGCCCCGCAATAATTTTTCAACACCAGAAGAGTTTACATATTAATGACCTCAAAACGCAGCAGCACTGATGAAATTTGTTCATGTGGCAATTTGGGTCAGTTGGTTCATGATCATGGACAGGCGTCGAAAATATAGACGGGGACAAGAAGTTGACGTAAACACTGGCACACTCGCAACTGCCATTTATCGAAAAAACAATCTCTTAGATAGCCCTGAGAAATGTCAGTCATGGCTACAACCAGTGTTGACCTCTATCAAGGAATTCATATTCTTTTTGCTGATAAGGTTATGGATCTGTCACCTGCACAACTCGTGCCTTCGGCTATAATCTCAAAACGCCTCGTGTAGCTTTCTGGATACTTTATATGGGTGTCTGGCCAAAAATTTGGTGTCATCAAAAGACGGGAAACAAGGGCAGCAGCTGACGCGCGTGGTTGCTGCAGCCGCGGCCCTCGGAAAACACAAATGCAAAACTAAACACTGCGAAAAATTCACAAAATGCACGACCAGAGTTTTGTACGAAATTCCAATGTCATGTGGTTCTGTGTACACCGGTCAAAGAGGCCTATGTATTAATGATTGCGCCCGCGAACATGAGGTGGCAACACGAGCAACCTCCATCAGGACATCTCGCCACACACTGCAGACGCTGGTTTTGCTCCCAGTCATTCGATGACACCAAATGTTTGGCCAAATACCAATATAAAGCATCTAGAGAGCTACACCAGGCGTTTGAGATTAAAGCCAAAGGTTCGAGGTGTACAAGTGACACATCCATAACCTTATCGGCTAAAGAATATGAGTTTCTTGATAGAGGGTTACACCAGTTGTAGTCATGTAGTCATGACTGACGTTTTTCATGGCTATATAAGAAATACTGTTTTAATTAAATGTTAGTTGCGAGTGTGCCAGTGTTAACACCAACTTTTTGTTTCTGTCTATTTTTCCGGTGCTTATCTACGATCATGAAATTCGTAGCTTCTCCTGAATCGACGCTGCCTATCTTCGTTAGATGCGAGACAAATAAAATTCTAGGAGATTGATCACGGTGAAATTTACCTTTCAAGTCTGTCCCAGTGCTTCAGTTAATCTGTTGGCTCACGTTAAAACACGGGTGAAACTTTGAGAAATAGATGTGAATATGCCTGCATGCTTGGCGATCGCGGTTCACCTCCCTCAACCGCAATCCTCATAGAAAAAAAATGCACTGTAGCAACTGCGTGGTTGACACGCCAAAACCCAAACTAAAACCTAGGCCAAAAAAAAAGAAACGAAACTATTTGGTGCGTTAATACAGAACCACTGCCAGCCTCCCCCTCCCTAGCCTTCTCTTGATTGCCAAAGAAAGTTGTGCCCAAGAAAAGATGGGTTGCTTTTTTATTCTAACTCAGAAGAATAAATTTAAGTCTTTAGTGACAAAAACAAACAAATGCGTAAGCAACCATTTTTGAAGATGCTTCTTTGTAATCAAAAAAAGAAGAAAAAGCAAACGGATGTTTTGTTTTTACGTGTTTGCGCAGTCAACTAGCTTTGCTAATGGCAGTGATTCGTAATTCCGTGGTCGGAAAAAGGGACCACCTGACCATGTGAACCTTTGATTTATTACCTACCCTATCCCCCAGCTTTAAAGGATCATCCCCAATTTAGAGTGGGTGCTTGCGCGGTATATTAGTTTGTAATGGTAATTTCTGTTCAGAAAAACAAAATGTCAGATAAATACCAACAGAACCCTGGGGAAGCGGTGCATGGGCCCTGTTGCACATTTTACAAAGCATCCTGTCTCGAATGGCAGCAGAGAAACAGGTGGGGCTGCTTCGCCTACAAGCCTTTGCTGAGTTGATGGCTGCTATCCAGACTGGCAGCACCTCAGCAGCTTCTAGCCACCTGCAGTTTTTTCTTCATCACACAGACTTCCTGCAACATCATGACTCACATTCTGGAACAAAAAAGAAACCAGAACTTGCTTCACAAATCAACAAAAGAACAAGTGACAACATTACGCTTCCCTTGTTGTCGACACTGCAAAGACCATGATGATTGCACCATTAAGCTCAACCAAGTAAAGGAAATAAGCTTCTTCCCGCCGTAATTGTGTCAGGAACAGTGTGCATGTAGAGCTTGGATACCTACTGGTACCTTGAGAAATCCCAGGAAGCTAACAACAAATTAAGCACCCCTTAGAAATAGCACAGCTCGCTTTATATTCACACGCACAGCAATCTACGTGCCTCTTGACCTGTTCTGCAGTGCAGGGATACAGATAAAATATCAACACCCGGGATGTGATCGAAATCCTTTGGGGTTAGTGCATTGAGCAACTTTATCCTGAAGCTACTGTTTGTGCATGCACAAAAGCGCCGTTTACACATATGCGATCGAGTACGACCGAGAGAGACCAGATTGGTTTTTAAGCCTCTTGCGACGTCTTAGGGCCAGATGCGCTAAAGCGGAGCTGGTTCCAAGTGATCGCAAGAGGCTTAAAAACCGGTCTGGTCTCTCTCGGTCTTACTCGGTCGTAAGAGTGTGAACGGGCCTTTAGGGGTGTTAAAGCTGGTTCACACTGTTGCAAATGACTACAACCGAGTTGAAGAAAACCGGTTTTTAAGCCGCTTACGACTGCCATTATTGCTGTGCTGCGTGGTCATAAGCAGTCACAAGAGGCCTAAAGACTGGTTTTCTCGGACACAGTCATAGTTGGATGCAACAGTGTGGACCACCTTTTAGACTAAAATTGCATCCAGCATTCGGTCTTACCACAAATGTTTTAAGAGACTCCCTTAACTTTACCAACACCTTAGGCTCCGATAACACCTTAGAACCTGTAGTAAGTAGGAAGCCATCACATTCAAAGCTGGATCTCCTTGATTTGTATGTGTCTCCATAGTACATGCGAGAGCGCCTGCCAGATGCGTGCGCTCCATTGCAACCTTTGTACCGCTAAACATTCTATACCAGATCAGAGCATTTTAATCAAATCATTTAACCCCTTCCCTCAGCCATGTAAACTACTTGTGCACCCACGAGTTCTACAAGTCAGGAATGTAGCCGGGGTAAATTAAAACGCTGCTAAGGCAAGCAACAATAATCTTTATTAGCGACAGTAGTACTCTGGGTGGCTTGCAGGCTAGACAAATATGCAGGGGCCCGTGCGCACGAGCGTCTGCTAGTCAATCAACCAGAGCAAGATTAATAAAATACCAAACAGGCAACAAGGGAGAAAACAATTTGGCATGGGTGCACCCCCCCTTGCACAAGAAAGCATGGGTAGAATAGTGTCCTTAAAAATGTTCCACCCCCCCCCCCCCAAAAAAAAAAAAGAAAAAAAAAAGTAACGGAGTTTTAGATCCGCCCCCGAGGCCCGCGCACCTCAAACCCGACGCCAGGCACCGCAGGCCAGCGCGAGGCAGACGCCGTACACGAGCACGACGACGACGCCCAGCTAGGAGCGTGTCCTATCAATCCGCCAAACGCCAGAGCCAAACCGCTACTCGAACCGCACCATCCCGCTGTACGAGGCGCGAAAACACAGTGCGCGCAGGCCGGGAGTTTCAAAATACTGGGCACAACTTAACGCTGTTGCTAGCGTGAGAAAAGACGAGGCGACACGCCAAAGTAAAAACCACCGAATTCTTCACGAGTGTCGCCCTCCTGAACACACGCATGGCGTTTGTTCTAAGATCCGTATCCGAGCGTTTGACAACACAAAACAGTTCACTGATAGCAACGCGAACTTTAGAAACGATCTAATCAGCGTCTCTGCAGTGCTCCGATGTCACAGAGCATTGACGGAATTCTCAAGATAGCGGCGCCGCTGCCGCCGCCGCCGCCGCCGCCGGCCAGTGCTGAGGCGATTTCGCTTTATCCGACTCAAATCGTCGGAAATAGTGAAAAATCATCCGAATTACGGTGGAAACGTGAGCTACGGTGTCCGGAAAACGATCCCGCATATTTTGATATTCTTGTAGCATGCAATATGAATATGAAGGTGGCAGAACTTAACTTGAATCGGCCGACGCACTCCGTCCTTTGTCTCCCCTCGGGCGAACAAGAAACCGGAAGCTGCTTGTGGCTTTGGATTGGCAAGGAGCCAAGGATTGAAATACGACGGAATAGTTTCGGTTTCGACCCCACTCTATCACAGTTCATATTCTGTGGCCGATCTCACTACCGTGGACATTACTGCAGTTATCCTGCTCTGTACGAACTATAAAGTCAATCGAAGGCGAGCAGACATAATTTCCTAGCTTCTTCTCCTGTTAAGCGTTGCTTGATTACCTTTGTTTGCTCATTGAAATCTACTTAACTTTATTTCCATCTTGTCCTTCAAACATACGGTGTTCAGTATCTTAATTCCACTTATTATTTCTTTTTTGCGAAGACATGTAATTCCTTAAACATTTATTGGATATTTGTTTTAAGTTATTAGTTTTTGTTCAAAAATATACTTTTCTCTTCCTTTTTTTTTGTTTGGTTTGATTTACAGGCCGTGTTTCGCGGCTCAGTAAAGCAGGTTGTTTTGAGAAATTCCAGATCACGTAGAGCTGGCAATACACCAGTGACGTAGGTAGAGGGGAGGCGGGAAAAGCTTCCATGGTCACCCCCCCCCCCCCCCTTCTTGGAAAATATTCCTGGCTGCGTCGCTAGTTTTTTGCCTCATAAACTTACACACAAATAGAAGGAGGCGTGCATTTTGTGCTTCGCTTGGGATTTGCTGAGCATGACTTCCAGTTCTGAGATGAAGCGCGTTAATTATAGCCAGTGACATGTAGTGGAAGCTCCTCCCATCTCTTTCCACTTTTGCAGAGCGAACGCTCGAGAGGAGGCGACACCCTCCCCAGCGTTTACTTTTGACCTGTCACCGAGTATGTTTTTTGTTTTTTTCGTGGACCTACCAAATTGCTACAGCTCGCAGTGCATACAACGGTGTAATCCAGTTGCTAACTTGCTGTGCGTGTCTAAACAGAAGACATGTTTCTCTCCGGAGCCATAGGGAGGATCGGCGGCCGAGTGGGCTAGAGGGCACCAGCTCGGAGCACGGGGAGCGAAATCTCGCGCTACAGAACCCAGGGATCCTTGGTTCAATCCGCACCCTGCCCGTTTCGATCTAGATGAACATCCTACCGGCGCGCGGTCGTGTATCACTGCTGCGTGACGCACGTTAAAGACCCCACGCTATCCGTTGCACTGAACTGGCTAAATTTCTCATCTACTGCTGGGGAAACTCGTCGGCCGTTGAGGCAGACCAAATTCTAGGCTGTATAAGCATACACACGCCCCAATATTTCTCCGGAGCCATAGCTACAGGCTGTTTTCAGCGCACGCGGTTCAGCGCATTCAGAAAACTAAGAACAAGAGCACGCCCACGAGGCTTCGGGTTGCCCCTCATTTGCACGTGCTCACCCTAGCTTCGACAAAATCGGAGCCGTGCAGAAGTTACGCTAACCTGGACAACGTACAACAAATTAGTTCTGAACACGTTGACGCTTTTACCGCCGAAACGTGCCCCACATGTCCTACACTTCGTTTCACGATCATTTCGAGCGAAAGCAATGCGAGGTCGATGTTGACACCAAATTTGACACTTCAGGAGCCCCCCTTCGCTTGCATTTATGGTGAAAGAGAGAATAAAGAGCCATAGAACAAAGGAATTATTGGCACATATTTTCTGTTATGTAATAGATGGCAGGGTAGATCTATGTTTTGACCACCCATGCTAAGCCTTTTTCGTATTTACCAGTTCTGAGAAGCATGAGCCCACGTGGAACCTATTCAAACGCGGACTAAAATACGGCTTGCTTCATTTAGAGATAAAAATAAAAATGTAAATCAATATATACATTTGCCGTACCCCTTATTTTGTTTAGATTCCTTACGTTGTACGCATCAGTGGCATTAATGCGATCACTGATCAGTGAATGCGATGTTCCGTGGAATAAGCTTTTTTATGTACCTCATCACTAGCGCCACCTGCACATATGTTTTAGCATTACCCGACGCGTGGCAAAGGCTTTCGTAACTTTGTGGTGCGGTCCGTACGGACCGCATTCCACGTGTGGTGGCGGTGGCGGCGGTGTGAGGTGAGTTAGATGGATCGTTCCCACTTTAAATAAATACTAAAAATCAGTTTCTCATTCTGCGACACTAAGTCTTGATGTAGGTGCAGCTAGAGCATTCTTGCCTAAATACCAGCCAACATTTAACCCTTTCTCGTGTCGAAGTTTCGCGTGTCGCGTTCCATTTGAAAAACTAAAGGCTTAGCACATGTCAGTTTCAGAAAGCATTTTTTGCTTGAAGCTTCTGAGGCAAGTTCGCTTTCGCGACTAAAACGCACCGCCAGGCTGTAATTCCGTAGCATGTGAAACTGATTTTTGTTATTTATTTAAAGTTGGGACGATCGATTTGACTCAAGCACCCGGTCATTCTTTTCAGTCTGGAAAGAACGCGGGCTCTGAGCGAACGGAAAATCGAACACGCGCGTCAACGCTGCTGCAAGGTATGCAGATTTAGTTGAGCAGCATTCTTTTTTTTTTTTCAAATTAATTATTTGAAGCGTCATCTGGTTTGTGATTAGTCAATTTGTTCAGGAATAAACACCGACCTCTGGAATCTGATGAAATGTGTTCTATTGTTTTTTTTTTCTAATTTACACATGCAGTGCAACAGTTTCCTTTTTTTATGAAATCAGACATGGTGCTGTTTTACGGACCCTGCTTGCGGTTGCGATGTACTGTCGGCACGGCCGTGTCAATAAAGCCCGACGATCGCGTCACGCCGACAAGCGCAATATTCTTAAGAAGAAAAGGAGGAAACGGGTCCTGGCCAAAGATCTAAGCGCAGAAACTCGTGGACGAAGCTACGTCACGGGCTATGAGATCGTAGCCTAAAATTCAAAGTTAAGCACAACGTAAAAACACATTTTAAGTGAATGTAAATAAAAGTGGCCATATGGAGTACTTCAGGGTTCGATAAAAAGCAAGCTCCAGCTAAAAAATAATGCATGACGATAATTGCTCGTCGTTCCTTGACGCGCTGAATCTTGCGAAAATAAACGACACCCGAAACCCCTCCCCGGCAGTTCCGTGGAATCCTGGGGTTAATGAATACAGTGAAGCGCCACAAAATCCCTAAATGTTGCTAGCTGCCTGTCTACCCTGGTCGGCTCGGACCAGGACAATACAAGGAACGCCAAGGAAATCACTTCCCTGGCAGTTACGTAGAATCCCGGGGCCAATGAACACGCTGAAGCGCCACTAAGACTTCAATGTTGGTGGCCGCCTGTCTACCTTGGTCGTCTCGGGCCAAGAAATTACAAGGAACGCCGAGGAAATCACTTCCCTGGCAGTTCCGTAGAATCCTGGGGCCAAGGAACACACTGAAGCGCCTACACTGGTCTG